TTCTCCCTAGGCTTGTCATGGTCAAGTGAGAGTTCGTGCTTGTTACTCTTGGTGATCGCCATCACCTAGACGGCTTGGTGGTGATCAGAGAGCTTGGTGATCATCCGGAGAGCTTGTGGATGACCCAACTCAAGTTGTGAGCGGTTGTGGGTGATTCACCACGACGGAGTGTCGAAGAATCAACCCGTAGAGAGCACTTGATCCTTGCGTGGATCAAGGGGGAGCTACACCCTTGCGCGGGTGCTCCAACCAGGACTAGTGGGGAGTGGCGACTCTCTGATACATCGGCAAAACATCGCCGTGTTTCCTCTCCTCTCTTTACTTTGAGCATTTACTTTGAGCATTTCAATTCTTGTCATTTACATTCCTAGAATTGCCATGCTAGAGTAGGATTAGAACTAGGTTGCTAAACTTTTGTACGTTAGATCAATAGAAACACTTCTCTAGGCACAAGGGGTTAATTGGGCTAACCATAGGACTTGTTTATTGCGAAGAAATTTAGAATTAGCCCAATTCACCCCCCTCTTGGGCATCTTGATCCTTTCAGTCACCACTAAGGGTAGAGCTTGTGGATCCCAAAGTGTTCACGTTTGGCCCTAGAGGCCTAGATAAGGCAGCGGTGGGAAAAACAAAGTTCTGTGTGTGTGGAAGAAACGGAACCAACGAACAAATGCATGAGGAAGAAACAAAACCAAGGAACAAAGGCTTACGATACACCCACCAGAGAACGTGCTCAAAGGGTAGATTTAACGTGCTCTGAGTGAGAGCCCGCTCGAGTTGTTTTTTTAAAAAAAATTGAGCCTTCAGATTTGAGTTTATGAACCTTATCAGAGTCTCCATTAGAATTGCTTTCACGTCCCATAAAAACAAACTAAAAATATATTTATGCTATATTTCATAAATAATATACTTTGCACAAGGAGCAGTCGCCTGATGCACACAACCAATAGCTAGCTAGCATTCTCATCAGAGTCGTTTAGATCTTTATTAGGAGCACAACTTTGTTAATTGTAAATAAATACTACTCTAAAAATCAGGTGGTTACCTATAGTAGACACTCAAATGACATTCAGCGCTAGATCGTATGTACCCGAGCTTAATAACAAGTAAACATTGGTTGCCTGTGGCAGAACCTCCTAAATTATAGGGCCAACATGCACCTGTCACTGTCCAACGACCTTTGACAACTATACATATGTTCCTGGTAACTTAAGAAGACTATCAGGTGTCCTCGGAGAATCCCGAATCATCCACGATTTCTGAGCAGGATCACATTACATAGTCATTGCAGTATTACAACATTTGTTCAAATATCTACACCATAGTAAAACAACGGAAGTCTTACAATAACATAGTTTACAAACCATTTGTTCAAACCATATAACTAAGTTCAATAATTAATACAAACCAAAGTAGTGGAGTGACATTATAACATAATACGAACACACAAAAGGATTGCCCTGCCCAAGGGCCACGCATTTATTTTCGTCATCGCATTGAACAACAGTCATGCAGCACGGCCCAAAACAGACCTACTCAAGAGGCTCACCTGCAACAAGGGTCAATGAACCCTGAGTACAAAAGTACTCAACAAGACTTAACCAAAATAGAAACTGATAGAACTCAGGAATGCAGGCTCAGGGATTCAAGGTATGGCTTTAGCAATAATCAAAGTTCTTTTGCGTAAAAGCTCTTTAACAAAATTCTTTATATCAATATTTAAAACTTCATAAAGATCATATACAAAGCTGACATGATCCACATTGAGATCATAAAACTTCATATCCAACACCTTCTCAAACCATCCTCAAGTTCCAGTTATTAAACTACGATGATGAACAGAGAGTTGAGTCTCCATAACCGAGGAGCAATGACGATTCGAACCGATTATAACCCAGCTGGGGATTCCAGACCACACGACATATGTAGGTCCCCGACCTACATATACCAACCTACCCTCAGATCCTCTAAAACAAGAATGGGTCCGCGCCACCCGAGAATACAGTACTCCACCAATCCAGCCCATTGCCACGTGGGTACACGCTATTCCCGCCATCTCTCCACTCCCAGTGCGCGAGTAGCCATTCTCATAATAGAATAGCCAAGTTAAGGCTTACCGGAGTATGTGGTTAGTACTACAAAGTCTCATCTCACGTAATTCAACAACGGACGGGCCTTAATCGACACAGGCGGAAAGCACCCGCTCACAAGACCTCCATGTCTTGTGGCTCACACACACCGAGTCCACCCAGTCTAGATTTATTACTCCTCATTCCCATATCACATGATAACATAAGTAACCAAAGATCCATTTAAAACTTGCAGATGACAGGTAATCACCCGACTTTTCTCGTTCTAAGCATAGCTAAGCATAACTAGGCATATACGAATTTAAACTGGTAACAAGGTAGATATGGAAAAACAAGGTTGGTAATGCACCAATTAGGTCTTCACTTAACTCCTAATCACTTAATGCAGTATTTAAAAGCAAAAGCGATATAACTTTGTAAAACACAAGATAGGTTTAAATGCATCCAGGGCTTGCCTTCGTTGACGGAAAAGTTAGGATCCGGAGTCGTTCCACAATTATCAAATCCGACCTCAACATGTGGATTAACTTCTTCAACCACTTGATTAACTAACACGTGTTCACCTTCGTTCACTACACGTAGTAACAATGCCATGTTTAACATGATGCGAAATATAAAACATGATGCTCGATGATGGATGCAAAAATTAACAACTTGAATATAACTTTCCTTCGCGGTACAGTTATAAATCAAACTAACTAAACCTTTTTCGTAACACTTACATCAATTGCCAAGGATCATTACCAACTAATGACCCAAGGTCATCACTCAATCAAAAATTCAAACCAAACCTAAATCATCAAAGGTTACTATTTGCTTTTATGAATTAATTATTTAATTAAAAATTATGAAATAAATCAACTTGTTCTAATTGAGCTCAAAAATTTTGTAAAGGTTCATCACATGATAACTAAGTGGCAAAATAATTTTTATAATTTTTGGATAAAGAAATAAGCCTAGAAAATTCATGGAAACTTATTTATTAATTAATTAAGTAATTTTTATCACATCCAAAAAATACTAAAAAATAACATTTCATATTTTTCCTAAATAATATACATCACAAAGAAGTCACACAAAAATTTTCATAATTTTTGGAGCTTTAATTAATCCTACACAAAAATAACAAAAACTCATACTATTCATTCATTTCTGAAAAATAGAAAATCCATTTTGAAACCCACGGTCACTGACAGCGCGACCCCACCTATCATCCCCTTCCTCCCGCGTTGACTACGGTGACGATGGCTCTGACCAGCGATTTCTCGCCGCCGGTGAGATCAATGGTGATGGCAAGGGTACCACCGTGATCACCACGACGAGGCTTATTGATTAGTGGCACAAGCTAACACAAATACAACGCGATTCGAGCTTAACGCCGGCCATGGCGGACACGGCGGCTCGACGGTGCTATGCCGGTGAAACGAAGCCGAGAACGATGAAACAAACAACTCGGGAAGAACCAGGAGCTCACCCCGAACACGCTGGAGCAGAAAGCAGGTCCGGAGGAGCAACGGAGACGCGGTTCGACGTGCACAGCGGCCACGGCGGGGCAACGGTCGTCGGTGGCGGCGTTCCGGTGACTGCAGTGGTCCAAAGGAGCAATCAACCGGTCATAGAGCATCACGGGAACAAAGCGAAGCTGGAGGTACACTAAGCAAGAGCCACGGCTCACCGGAGAGCGCTGGCCACGACGGAGCAAGCACGACGATGAGGTTGCCGGCCGCGAGGAAGAAAAGCTGCGCACAGTGAAATTCGGCGAAGTCAGACGACCACGACCGGTTGGCTGGGTTTGCAAGGATTAGGCGGTGCTATGGTATGCTTTGCCGAGACAAGGAAGGAGCTACGGCGAAGATGCGAGCTCGACGGAGCAGCGGCGATGGCGGCTGGAAAACAGAGGAGGAGAGTGGCGAAAAACGGCAACGACGCAGGCTAAATAGTGCGGCTTAGAAACAAGGAGAAGCCACGCCACGGCCTTTACCACGCCAGCGCGACGCCAAAGACGACCACGCGCGCGCCTGGAAGCAGCAAGAAGCTCGCCGGCGGTGACGACTGCCTGCTGGTACTGTTCCTCAAAATTACCAAATTGCCACTCGGTTTAAAACACAAATTACTCCCAAATTTATGTAACAACTCAAAAATCTCCAAAAACAAAAGTTGTTCAAAATTCAAAGTTCTACAACTTTGCTTCTATAACCACCCCCTAATTCGGTCTACATTTTAAAATGCAAATTTGAATTCAAAAAGGGAACATTTAAAGAATTACGCCTTTTCAAATTACTTCAATTTTTATAAAACAACTTTGAAAACTCCAAAAACCAACTTTGTACAACTCGACAAGCTCTACACTTTTGCTTTAAGGCTCAACACCAAAATGTGCTTAGATTTTGAAATGGGTTTTTCGGGTAAAACTAATTGCTAGAAATCAGGGTTTTTGGAAATCCAATTCAACACAACTTTAAGAACTTGATTCAAACAGTACAAGTCCACACATTCAACATAAAAGTAAACTTGTTTTAGTGAATGCATATCAGATTTTTCAATAAGACCAAATACTTTGCAATGCATATGATGACATGTCCTGTTTTAGTATTTAAAACACCCGGGGTGTTACATTGCCCCAACTCCTAATCTTAATATATCAAGGCAGTTTCCTTTTGCCGATCCTCAGGGTGTCCACGTCGCCCCGAAAGCTCTTAGCCGTCCGATCTCCGATCCTGTAGACCAGATTAGTTGGAGCGGCTTTTTCCTGAAGCGGCTTATATGTATAATAAGCACTATACATACACAGGTGTAGAAGTCCCTATATGCTGTCCGGGTCCAGGTCTCCAAGACCGTGATTACAAACTAGTAACTGTCATCACAAGCGGGTGCAAATCAGACGAGCCTCATCAAGCTGATGACTCCATTTTAGGTCATGATGATACAAGAGTTGGTGTCGGGATCGACCAGCGCCGGCACGAGATACTTCCTGCCGTTCCGGCCGACCACGTTGTACCCAGCGCCGGTGATCGTGTCAAGCTTGACCGCGCCGGGGTACCCCGGGTACGCGCCGCGGCCGTAGACGCCCGGGCACGCAGCCGCCACCTCCACGGGTGCGCCGGGGTCGCCCTGGAAGTATCCGTGCCCATATGGGTTGGTGACCGCGCCAGCCAGCAGCGCCGCGAGGTTGATCAGCATGCCGTCCACACCGACGTCGCCGTTGGGCGCGCGCAGCGTCTCGCCGCGTCCGCGCCCTGGCACATGCCTGGCACCGTAGGCGAAGCCCTCCGCCGGGTGGAACGGCCACGCGCACCGCCCTGGGCACTGAACGGCGGCGTTGCCCACCCACACGTGCGCCGCTCCCCCCGGTGCGGAGGCCCCGTGCGACCCGCACGCGCTGCCGCATTGCCCCTCGACGGCGACGTCGGAGGCCGTGAGCACGACGGCCACGCCCCCTGGCGCCACGCCGAGCCGCGACGCCAGCCGCTCGACCTGGACCCTGGACAGCGTCTTCCCCAGCGAGCACGCCTCGTCGTGCACCTGGCTGGCCAGAAGCACCCGCGGGGGCTCCCGGCCGGCCTTGCGCACGTACCGGTCCACCGTCTCCCACCACCGCGCCACCGACGGCGCAGGCGCGGGTCCTGGCGCCCCGAACCCGTGGTGCTGTGGCTGGCGGCCGCGCGGGGAGAGGGAGAGCAGGAAGTCGGCGATGATGGCCTTCTGGTGTGGCGAGAAGGCGCCGTAGTAGAGGACGGAGACTGGCACAGCGCCGTCGAGCACCTCGCTGGCGTGGTAGACCATGACGGGCGGCGGCGGGCGGTAGAGGGAGGAGTGGCATGGGCGCGCGAAGCTGACCAACAGGAGGGCGAGGAGGACGGCGCCACAGCCGACGTACGATGTTGCCCTGTCCATGGTTGCGGCGGCTCTCTTTTGCGCACCGAGTTGCGCTTGCACACCATGCAACGCAAGGTTGTCAGGCAGCTATATACATGACTCGGCCCGCTCTCGAACGGTATCTTTGTTGCTTCCATGGGCGGGCGCGGCGAGCATCGCAAGGTATGCATGGAATGGATACCCGGCGTGCGTGCGGTGATGCAACACAACACCCACGGAGACTGATTAGAATTGCTTGGAAGGCAGGCTAGGGAGCCTAGAGTCTAGAAATTGGGCCAGGGCCCTGCCACCGTTACTGGACCCTTGATGGACGAAGCCCAAGTGATTACAGTCCATTGATCTCGGACCTTTAGGTAAGTAGTTGTTAAGCGGAGGACTGTAGTCGTTGCAGGTCGGACAACTGTTATACTAACTTTTTTTCCCCCTAATAACTAAAGCTTTTTTACCCTTTTTTCTAGCTATATAAAGCACACAAGAAAGAACAATGAGTGCGATGTTAGATCTTCATCTTCAGCCAAGCTCAAATTGCTGTTTTGCAGCTACAAAGATGCATCGAGCACAGCATCAATCTAAGCAATCTCTCCCTAACAAGTATGTACATTATGTGTTCCATGGCAATTCTCTCACATCATACTTATGTTTGTCCCATCGATCAGTTTCACTTTCACCTCGTCGCCGTGCCCAATCGTGGTGCCTGACAAATCCTCGCGAGCGACGGCCAGCACGCATGCAGTTGGCTCCGATCCCCTGGTCAACGACGACGAGATGGGTTTCTTGGTGTGGGTGAGCCGCCGCCGCCACCACGGCCCCTGGTCATCGACGACGAGCGGGGGCTCTGCGTGAGCCGCCGCGACGTCTTCTTCCGGCTGCTCCGGCTGCCCGAGCCGCCGAGCGCGGCGCGCGCAATGCTGTCCGTGACCACCTCCCGCGTGCTGCGCTGCGGCTTCACGGGCTGCTTGTTGAGGTAGGCAAGGCTCGGGAGGAGCCCCGTGACCGCGCGGCGCAGCGCGTCGTCGCCGACGTTGGCCTGCACCGGGTTTCCCACGAGGTTGAGCGCCAGGAGGGAGTGGTAGTTGGCCACCAGCTGCCCCAGCGCCTTGGCCGTCGTGATCTTGTTGAAGCTCAGGTCCAGCACCGCCAGCTTCAGCAGCCGGTGCAGCCCCTCCACGTCGCTGATCTTGTTGCCCGCCAGGTACAGCTCCCGGATCGCCGTGCAGTTGGACAGACCTGATCCATATATCGCGGGCAGCAGCACAGAGAAATCCATGATCAAATCATTGCCAAGCAAAAACAGCAGGAGGTGCGCAAACTGGATATATATGGTCCATGCAGAGTTTCTGACTGAATTTCATTCTGTGACCCTGAATGATGCTAGGATCTTCTTCCCTGCATATCCATATCCTAAGCTGGAAGCCTGGAAGTGGCTATCAAATCGGTCATATCATGCTAGAACATTCGTGATTGCTTAATTAAGCGATGCAATTAATCGAAGATGATGCATGTCAGTAGGCAGCTGTGGATCCTTCGTCCATGCCTCCATGGGCCACCTCAATCAAAAAAGCAAATGCATAAACGAATCAGGACAGGGTCATCTCAATGGTACCGGTCCCAGCAGCTTCCAGCAGGTCCCAAGAATTATGTCCACTGCGTGGGCACTGGCAGCCAAGATATGGAACAGGTACCACAATGTGGGATGTCTTGATCAATGATTCTGAGTCTCCCACCCACACCGACATACTGTATCGGCTAGATGACAAACTCAGATCGCATCTTTATGAGTTGTTGTTACATGTGCATGTGCACATACAAGCAGCAGTAACGGAGTTGTTGTTACATGTGCATGTGCACATACAAGCAGCAGTAACGGAGTAACCTCAAGTATAAGGTGCTGTTTAGTTCCCCAAACTCTCAACTTTGGTACTATGCAAAAAGAAGATTCTCCGTCACATTAAACTTACGGTACATGTATGGAGTATTAAATGTAGATGAAATCAAAAACTAATTGCACAGTTTGGTTGAACTTTGCGAGACAAATCTTTTGAGCCTAATTAGTTAATGTTTGGACAATAATTCACAAACAAAAACGAAATTGCTACAGTGTTTGCCGTCACATCAAATACTGTGCAAATGCCGATTCTGGCCGAACTAAACAAGACCTGAAATGAAATTCTGAATGATGCAGTGAATGTTCAGAATAGACTCAGTGAATGTTCAGAATAGACGTGCTTACCATGCCCAATCCGCGAAATCCGGTTGTAGCTGAGGTTGAGCACGCGTAGCTTGGTCAGCTCCCGGAGCCCCTCGATGTTGGCAATCTTGTTCCTAGACAGATCAAGAGAGTGCAGGCCCTTGGGCAGCGATCCGGGGGAGATATGAACTGCAGCAGCAACCCAAATTCAGCAACAGAAATCAAACTGAGAGTGAGCACTAGGAGTTGTCATCCTAGTGCTCTGCTCACCGATGAAGTTGCTCAGCAGCTAATTAGTGATGCTCTGCTCACCGATGAAGTTGCTGGAGAGGTTGACTGCCCGGAGGGTTGAGAAGGGCGCGATCATCGGCACTACCTTGAGGCCCATCCCTGAGATGTGCGCCACCGACGAGAAGGCGTTCAGGGACTGTACGATGGTGTTGGCCTGGACGACCTCGTCGGCCGCTGCGCAGCGCTTGGATTTGCCGTGGGCGCCGCCTTTCCCTGAGGATGGCTCCCCGAGCTCGAGATGACGCGGCCGTTCCGACGCACACTCGCCGCCATGCTCCTCGTCGTCTTCTCCATCGTAGTTGTCGTCCTCCTCGGCGATGTGGAACGGAAGCTCGCTTTCGATGCTGCTCACCCACGCGCTGATGCGGTCGTGGATGGAGTTCTCGGCGGAGAAGGCGACCCACTGGTTGGGCAGAGATGGCGGCGGCGAGTCGTCGACCATGACCTTCTTGTTCTTGCGGTCAGCGGCCGGGCCCTCCTCGAACGTGTCCGAGGTGTACCCGCCGTGGCGGCCAGGCGAGCACGCGGCTTGGTGGGCCGTGCGCGCCGACCGCGGCATATGCAGGTTGCGGTGGCTCCAGAGGAAGAGCCGCCACCAGAGCTTCCGGCTGCGCGAGGGCAGCACCTGGCTGGACGACCGCTTCTTCAGCATCACGCGGTCGGCGGTGCGCGACGTCTTCACCGACGCCGGGCTCGCCTCCGGCGCGCCGTGTGGTGTCGCCGTCGTCTCCAGGGCGAGGCCGGTGATCAGGTTCCCCAGATCGCCGTAGGAGCGCGACCGGGCCGGCATCTCGGGCGCGGCACGCGAGCCAGGTCGCTTAGTCTCGATGTTGGAGCAAGACCGCTTCAGCTTTGGCGACGGGTCCGCCGCCTCCGCCACCGCAGCGTCGGCCGAGATCACCGCAGTGTCCATTGCCACGTCACTGTCGGATCGGATGGGCTTCTTGGCCCCGTGGAATTGGAAGTCGAAATCTGACAGATCGATGCCCTTCACCGACACCAATTGATCAGCATCAGCTTCCTTATTATTACGGTCCTCCACGGGGACCGGGTGCGCGGCGGGGACGACCTTGACGACGCCTGCTGCAGCAAGCGTCGAGTCGATGAACTCGACCGGCTTCACCTTGGGACATTCGTTGCCGCTGGCCTTGTTGGCATCGGCGATCTTGCGGGTCTTCTTCTTCCTCTTGCCGGGGAGCAGAGCGGGGAAGCAGCCCAGCCTGGCCATACGGGAGACGCACGCCGGAGCAGCGACGCCGGGATCGCGTGGACGATGACGATGACGGAGGAGGACAAACTCGCATGCTCCTCGCTCAGGTCGCCAGGCGGCGTTGGCACGAGGATTAGGAAGGGCAGAGTGAACTGGGGAGAGCTGGAGGGCCGCGAAGCTGGAGCGGAGCCGTCCTGGCAGCTAGCCCTGCACCAATCAATCAGCACCTGGTTGAGAATACTGATGATGAGACGTAAAAACAACTAGAGCTGCTACAGACACACCCAGCACCACCAGTGATTGTGACTCATCCACCATGGCCGGCCACAAACCGATCTCGATCCACGACCACGAGGCAAGGAGGGAGGGGGCACCGGGGCAGTACAGTACGGAGAAGAAGGCTCTCTGTTTCTTGGAAGGCTGTTTGTTACGTGATGTGATCTCCTAACAGACGCGGGATCCAGATTTATTTAACACACACACACACACACACGTACAGGAGTCCTCCAAACCCAAAAGAATATATATCAGAGTCAGAAAGAAAAAAAGAATACGCAACATGGGAATCAAAGGCGGCGAGAGACTGCGAAATGCTGCGAATGAATGAGCAGAATGAGACTCCCCTCCAACTGCCAGTCTGCCGGCAATGACAGCCAAACTTATTGGGGTAAATTAATCTGTGAGCCCAACAACAACAAGATTGACAGAACAATGGTTTGTGGGTGGTGAAACTACAAGGGAAAAACATCATCAGATTTCTTGTCTGCTTCTCCATCGCGTTGTTCTTGCTTGCCCATCCCACAGTTGCCAAGGAAACAACATTGACCGACTTTGTTTTTTTCCATTTAGGAAGATTCACAACCAGGTGTGCGCACAGAGGGAGAAACTGATCTTGGTTTCCTCCCCATTTACTAACAACAGACAAATTCAAAATCACACAGAAAGGGACATACAGGAAAACACCGATCTGACACAGGCATATCGGGCCTCTTCTCCCTCTACTACTGGTGGAGAATTCAGAACCATAAGAATACTGTGTTTTCATAAATATATAAGAAGAGAAGGTAGAAAAATGAAACCAGAAAAAAAAAAATGGGCCCGGAACAGCAAAAGGATTCAAGGATTTACCGGGAGCCGTCTCAAGAAGGTATGATCAGGGCCTGTTTGGAATGACGAGAGGGGTTGCTTTATGGATGTTGAGAATCTAGACGATTTGGATGGCAACCCTCCTCTCCAAACAGGCCCCAATGGCGCAGGCACAAAGGAGATCGCCGAAGAGGGAGAAGCATTTATACACCACGAAGACGAAGCAGAGGCGCCAAACAAAGGAAAAAGGGGTCCTGAACAGCGAGGCCTCACCTTGGGTTCGCCTGGCACTGGCAGCTGCAACCAACGGCCGGAGCAGAGCGAGAAGAAGGCGCGCGTCTCCTATTAGTTAGCTGGTGGTTCGTTACGGATCGGCCGAGTGCTGTGCTGATCGATCGGCTACTTCCCTTCTTGCATGCGCGCGGCTAAAGCCTAAAGATGGGTAGGACAGAGACAAGAGCGGGGAGGCCGGGGTGGTCAGTGGTGCGGTGTGGTCCCTTGGGGAGGAGACGGGACGAGGCGGCGTGGTGGTAGAAATAGAGGGAGCGGGAGGAGGAGGATGGATGCTTCATGCTTGGCGCCGGGCGCGGTGGTGGTGGCGGAGGGAAGCAATCACGCGGTGGCCACACGGTGACGGTTCATTCGGACGTCACTCCCACTTGCCACTTGGGGCCGGCCACAACCGAGGGAGACTTTGGTATTTCACGAAAACTGGTTTCACACTTTTACCATCCCGTAAAGTGGTTTCGCTCGTCTGCTATTATAAGACTAGTGTAACTAGCTGAAATATATTTTTGATAGTTTTAATTCATCGAAAAAAAGAAGACACGTCCTTCCACTTCTGCCCTAGCCTGCTTTCTAGGGAATAAGTAAACAAGCAAGCAAGCAAGCATCAATCGACATGGCAGATGATAGGAGAGGAAATCAAAGAGAAGAGAAATCACCTGGCTGCGGGGGATGGAGTCGTCGGTCACGACCTTCTCAGTGGCTAGGGAGAGAGCGGTCACCGGGACGAAGCCAGCCAAGAGGTTGTCGGTGGCGGTGTTCTTGGCGGCTAGGACGGAGCGAAGACAAGCTAGAGACAGGGGAGACGGCGGCGTTTTGATGTAGGATATCTGAGCGTTCTTGGCCCATTGGCGGTGCACCCAGCGACCCCACACACCGCCACTGCTGCTTTGCACGGCCCTCATCGCCCCATGCGATGTCGCAGCCTCCTCAAGACCTAGCGCACCTAGCTGCTGTGGTGCCCCGTACAAGACACGCCGCCTTCACCAAGACAAGACGCGCCCATCCCCGGCCGCCGACCCGCGCCGTGGATGCCCAGCCGCCGCCCCGCGCATGCACCGCTGATCCTCCACACATCCTTAACGGTGATTATCGTATAAAAGAAAGTAGGCAGGGGTAGAAGTGGAAGGATGTGTCTTTTTTTTTTTCCATGAATTAAAACTACCCAAAATGTATTTCAGCGGGTTACACCAGTCTCATAATGGCAAACAAGCAAAACTACTTTGCGGGATGATAAAAGTGCGAAACTAGTTTTTTTATGATGGGTGAAATGCCAAAGTCTCCGACCGAGGAGAGTCAAGGAATACTCTAGTCATCTTGGGTATTTTATTTTATTTATTTTTATATAATGTATGCCTTTTTTTATTCCTTCTTCCTTCAAATTACTTTTATCTAGGAAATTCACACAACGCCATGCTCCCACGTCGTTCTAGGAAGCAACCACATTATACAACAAAACCCAATTGATTGGACTAAAATATTCTTTACCATGTAGCTAAAACATCGTGGAACCTAACAATAAAGTAGACCATTACAAAAGATGTCCGTAAACTTATAAATTACCTATAAGAAATAAAAAAAATATATCATTTTTTACTCCTCCCCAGCTCCCTCCCTCTCTCTCAGTTTTGCTCACCTAATATGTTGGATGGGGGAATTATCTCACCCACCGTACGGACTGCTTGTTGACCGAACACTGTGAAAAATAATAGTGGCTACGGACTAACCCGTGGGTCCCATGTGTATACATTGTAGTTGCCCTAAGGGGCAGCATAATTGATGAGCTTGATTCGAATAAACCTCAAAAAGTCTATCATGTATAGCAAGCGGAGGATGGTGTAATCTTTAGGCCCTGTTTGAACTGAGTTAGACCGATTATGGTAGAAAGAAGCGGATGGAGGACCCCAGACGGTTCGCTTCACAGTCATCTTCTTTTCCCCGTGATTCTTTGCACCACGGCACTTATACGTGAAAGCCGAAACGGCATGGAGAAAGCAGTGGGAAACGTAGCTTGGCGTGCCCACCTCATTTTTTCGTTCGACGGATGTGCCCACAGATCTCCTCCTACGTCATCCTCGTCCTTCCTACGGCGAGGGGCACTTCTGGCCGTGATCTGGCAATGGAACGTTGCAGTGGCAATGCACGAAGAAACGTAGCTGCCTGGCTCGCCCGACGCCCGTGTCCCCGGCCTCGTCGGTCCCCCACTGAATACTGCTGCCGCTGGTCACTGGACCCGTGGAGAGTCAAACCGCCAAACGATTAGCTTTCTCCTATTTTGCTTCTTTGATTTGAAAATCTAGCTTGTCAAGGAATCCAGCTTGGAATTGAAGCGTGAGGAAACTAAGTTGTTCCAAACAAGGCTTTAGTTCCACCTTGCTACTAGAAGTAAAGGATGACTAACTTAAATATAGAAGACTCATCCTCCAATCCTCCATTCTGTTAGGAGCCTATTTGATTCCACTCTACCAAAAATCGAGCTTTGTTTTCACAAGCAGGATCCACGAGCGCTGGTTTGCTCACCGCAGAAAATGAATTGTGCTCCATTCACGATCATGCGGTTTCTCCATTGTTTATGACCCAAGCTATTGGCCTCTGCCAGGTACCTCACATCTTAGGTCTCTCGCATCCTTGCGATTCTACGGTCGGAACAGAGAGAACAAGGTTTTCGGAAAGCACTTCGCACGGCTGCTTGTGTTATTTACCATAAGCTGTCTTCCATCCAAAGTCAGAAGGTGCTACGTAGCGTCGTTTTTAGAGTAATTTAAAATTTTTATTACCTCTTTTTCTTTTTTTTTAGCCACAAATATTTCCATCACCTCCCCTAAAATAAATGAGGGGTCGTACCCTCACCATCACTTTTCAATTATTTTCTCCTACACACTTGTGAGCCCCATCTTTCACATAGATAATAGGAGAGATATAATAAGATATCGCTGTAGCAGCTCTCCTGATATCTAACAAATAATCTTATGTTACCCCGATATCTACATATTAAAGAATAGATTATTGTGAGATTGGTGCACATGCTCGGGTAGATTTATTGTGAGAGAATTATCTATCGGACACGGAAACAAATCGGTCTTTCTCATTTGGCACTCAAAAATTTAAACTTTCTTATTACGCACCAAATTGAAATTTTCTTCCCTAGATGACACTACCGTACATTTTATCCGTTCAGCTGGTAGTTGATGTTTTGATCGTCCGAGTTTTTTCTCAGTATGACCAAAATAACCCTCTAGTACTCGCGCATGCAATTTTCTCCCTAACTCTCCCAAGCAGCCGAGCGATGCTCCTATCTCCCACGACCTTCTTCTCCGAAAAAATAGACCCTAGATTGATGAAAGGAAGAGGAGAGGATGATGGAGCAGAGGATCCCGCGGCCAGTGGCGCCCAGCACCAGCTGCGCGCATCCTCGGGTGGGGCGGCATCACCCGGCGGAGCCAGGCAGCAGCATGGTGGGCTCGTGGGCCGGCGCTTTGGCCAACCCAGCGGCATGGCGGAGGGGCTGCGGCGGCCATGCCAGCCCGCGCCCGTGGATCCTGGCGCGCTAGGCTTGCCAAATATCTTTTTGAAACTATGTGCATGCAATGAATATCTTTTTGCTCATAGAGTTCAAATGCCAATTGTGATTTAAAAATTAAGTTTTTTGTCTTAAAATTATGTTAACCGATAGCAACCTGGTTGTCACCAACATCTACAGCTGTAAAATTGTATTTGTTCCAAAATTTGATCCAGCCTAGTCCAAAAAACAGTTCCATAGTCCATTTCTGTTGTATGAAGCTGTCAGATCTAGTCAGCAAATGTAAAATTGCAGCAAATCAATGTTTTGTTGTAGTGACATACTGTCACTTAGTAAACAACATCTTGCTGGATTTTCTTTGAGGCCAAGACAGTAACATCTTGCTAGATTACAAAGCATTTAGTCCAAGTAAGGCGTAGTAACTTAGAGATGAAACCAACAAGATCGTCACGAATTTACTCTTATAAAATTCAGGTTGTCTGCATTTTGTTCATATTCATATGCTAGAATAGTGATGTCTGATGTTTGTTAATCTTCTTTACAGGCACTCGAGATCCTACACATTGTCAGAGCGATAGCTCCTTGAAGATTACCTGCTCTTAAGGCCACTGTAGAAAAATAAAGTTACAGATTGCCTGTCAAAGAAAGAACAAGTCGTAGATTCAGTTTTGGTGGTTTTGTTATTAAGTATAGCACGGATCATACATTTATATAACAAGTGTATAATTTGTAATTGACGTCACTGTTAGCCTACACTTCAGAACATGTAGTGCACTGCAGTGCAAATCTGCAATTGTCTGTCGGTAGTCTTGTTCACTATTCTTGACACAATAACAGAAAACTTTAAATACATTGTTTAGATAGAACTCGGGAGGCTGCATTTGTGCGTATACCGTTCTGCCATTGATATTTTAAATAAAAGTTTTGATGAAATGTTTGCACGTGCCGATTTGGGGGTTCAGGGATATCTAGCAGAGCCCCCCGCTTCGAATCCCCAGGGCGACTCAGGGAGATACGCCCGCTGCTACCGCAAGCACACCACCCCAGGCTATCTCTGGCTACCGTCACCGTGGCTCCGGCGAGCAGTGGCGACGGCCGACGATGGTGCTGAAATAGGTTGCATTCGCAGCCGCTTCTCCCCTACCCCTCTTCCCTTTCCACTTATCCTCACCTCCTCTTCCCTTTCCGCCATCTCCTGCACCCTGGTCCAAAAACTAGTTCCATACTCCATTTCTATTGTATAAGGCTGTCAGATCTAGTCAGCAAATTTAAAATTGCAGCAAATCAAGTTGTGTTGTAGTGACATACTGACACTTAATAAGCAACATCTTGTTAGATTTTCTTTGAGGATGAGACAGTAACATCTTGCTAGATTACAAAGCATTTAGTCCAAGTAAGATGTAGTAACTTAGAGATGAAACCAACAAGAGCCTCACGAATTCACTCTTGTGCATATTCATATGCTAGAATAGTGATGTCTGATGTTTGTTAATCTTCTTTACAGGCACTTCTCCGGCCACAGCAAGTCCACTGCCTCAGGCCAT